TAGTATTGGAACTATTCCCTAGAATCTCAGTGGCATTGCGTCTTGTATATTAGATGGTGAATCTCCCTTTCTTTGCATCCACCTCTATAGTTCCTGCAAAAATAGATGACCGTTTACATTCTCTCCCCCTCCCCCAGGTGAATTCCCTTTTTTGGCCTGCTCACCCTTGTGGATGTTGACAGAAACCTGATATCTCTGAAGCCAACTACCTGCTCCTTGGGTCCTTGTCCCTTGTGGCTGGAAAATCATGCCACGCAGCCCTTTGAGACAGATTAATAATTTGTCTGACAGGGCTGTTTCCGCAGCTCCCTTGAGGAGGGAATTTGGACCTTTGCTAAAGAAAATCTCCTTACATAAAAAGGAGCTGGTCAGTTACCGCCCCGTGTCTGATCTACCTTTTCCAGGGAATGTAATTGAGTGCGCAATGGCCAAGCAGCTCCAGGTTTTCCTGGATGAGACATCTGTCCTGGACCCATTTCAATCAGGCTCCAGGCCTGGCTTTGGGACCGAGACAGCACTGGTTGCTTTGGTTGATGTCCGTTTACCTCTGGATAAAGGCATGCTGATGCTGTGGCCTTCTATACAATTGACCATCTGGTCCTGACTGACCACCTTGCCTCCCTGGGTGGAGGGGTGCTGTCCTTCCAACTTTATAATTCTATGATTCTATGAAAAGAGAAGAAACCCACCAGCCTAAGTAATTTTGTGTTTTTCTATTTCTCATGCTACATTTTTTTACTTCTCTATTACATTTAACATTTTTAGCTGAAAGACTATCAAGCTTACATCCACAATTTACATAAGCGTCTGCCTGGTCACACATTGCCTTAGGAAAGGTAGGGGCTGTTCACAAACATTACCTGGAGTACTGTGTGCAGTTCTGGAGGCCTCATGTCAAAAAGGATGTAGACAAAATCGAGAGGGTGCAGAAGAGAGCAACGATGATGATCATGGGTCTGGAGACTGAGCCCTACGAGGAAAGGCTAAGGGCCTTGGGGATGTTTAGTTTGGAGAAGAGGAGATTGGGGGGGGGGACATGATTGCTCTCTTTAAATATTTGAAAGGCTGTCATTTGGAGGAGGGCAAGGAGCTGTTCCAGTTGGCAGCAGAGGACAGGACCTGAAGCAACGGCTTTAAATTACACACAGAAAGGTATCGGCTGGATATTAGGGAAAGCTTTTTCAGTCAGAGTGGTTGAAAGGTGGAATCAGCTGCCTAGGGAGGTGGTGAGCTCCCCTTCACTGGCAGCTTTCAAGAAGAGGCTGGACGAATATTTGTCAGAGATGCTTTAGGCTGGACCTGCATTGGGCAGGGGGTTGGATTAGATGGTCTGTATGGCCCCTTCCAACTCTGTGATTCTATGATTCTACCTGCATCCTTGATAAACCAACCCAGCTGACATCAACCTAGCCTATGTTTTATGTACCTTTTTGCTTCTTTCTTTACACTGTATTTATATTGTACTGTTATGTTTTGTAGACCACCTTGGATCCCCATTGGGAAGGAAAACAGGAATAAAAAATACACTATACATGATAACCAATCAATTTCAGATATCATTTTGGTTTGCCAAAGCAACCCCTGACAACAAGCCATGGCCAAGCATCGTGTCAGAGAATCTGCAAAAAGGTTTAGTGCCCTCTCCCAGGCCATACATCAACTAACTGAGCACCTGATGGTTGGGAGATGGCAGTAAACAGTTCTGGAGATTCTCTGCAACACTTTATGTGAGTCAGAGGACAAGGTATTGCTTGGCAGCTAGGCACAGGCAGGGTGAGGGAGGAGAGACAGACCAAGAACTAGGAACAGGTCTGGCAGCGGGGGGGGGGGCAGGATGGGATATTCCTTCCTCTAGGGATCTGGGCGAGTAGGCAGAGGGAGAGAAGACTGCAGGGAGTGTAGGGAACTGGAAGCAGAAGACAGTGGGAATGGGATTTCCCTGCCTCCAGAAGTCCCCCTCTTTTTTCCCTTTTGTTCTCAAATTGCCTAAAATGTGTTTGGCACTCTGAAGGGCACCAAGTTCTTCAACACATTAAGGCACATTGTGTACTCCAGCAACACGTTTATTAAATAATCACACTGCTGTATCTTACATTTCTGTATCATATGGGGGGTCCTTATTTTTCCCCCTTGACTCTACTAAATTTGATTTCATAATGCCTTTTCTGCTGTACACTGCCTCGGTACAGTAGATTACTGTCCAAAGGATAACAGTTTAATTTTCCCTCTCCATCTGTCTCAAACACAGTCATCCCCCCTCTTGTCAACAGTATTTTTCCACACAATTCTATGTCCCTCTGTATTCACCTGTTACTACTGTTTTGTGTGTTAACATGACATAAACTTGACGTTTTCCACCACACTCAAAACTGCCCTTGACTCTATGAAAACACTGCTTATACTTCAAAGATTTTTCCCATCTCTTTTTAATGGCATATTCTTACAACGCTTCCTTCTACTTCCCTTTATTATACTTCAAATAGAATAAAATAGAGGAGAAAGGAACAATGTGAACTGATTTGATTCCCAAACTTTTGCGGGCCACCACCAGCCTGTTCCATAAGCTCACCCCTAGTGCACCCTAGTATACCCCTTTTAAATAAAAGCATTATTTAAATAGTGGTTTGCATGACCCAAGGAAAGTGACAATAAAATTCAAAACAGTAACAATTAATTGCACATTTATTCAAAATCCAATTAAAACTTTTTAGATTAATTTATTCAACAAAATTTGATCCAGTGACATCAGCTTTTCAAAGTCTGATTGTCGTTTACCAAGAATCTTAGATACCACATTAACTACTTTACTGCTTAGTAATGCGATGGATGGGGCTGGATTAAGAGGTACCCATTTCCCAAAGTCTGGTTTAAAGTCACTTAGCAGGAGTCTAAATTGCCACGTTTAGTAATCTGGTTTCCATTTCTTTGCTTGGAGAGAAGTTGGATGACCACACTGAAACCACGTTCCACAAAATATGTTGGAAATGCAACAAGGAGCTTCTCAACCACTGTCCATAGTGCAGGACAGTGATCAGAAATTTCCTTCTGTAACCAAAACCCTTGGTATGATTTCTTAAACTTTTTAAACTTTAATTTAAACTTTTTGTTTCATTTTGTTACTGCAATTTTGCATAAAGATAATGTGTTGTATTTTCTTTATAAAGTTTTTCTAAACAGTTTTATTTTTTGCCAAAAAGCACATTTCATAATCAACAGTTTCAGCAACCAAGAACACAAGAAAATAAATAACACACCCAATATTATTATGTTAAAGGAGTTAACAGCAAAAACTTGGAAAATGACAAAGAAACAAAAACATACATGGTGATGACAGCTTCTCAAAACACGGTATACTGGTCTGAGAAGACCTCTGGTGTCATATTTATTAAAAATTCCAAGAGTTTCCACCAGATTTCAGCACTACCCAAAAGCAGACACCTGGAGAGCCATTTGCTGGCATCTAGTCTCTAGCCTCAATTGTTTGTTTCGATTTATATCCCACCTTGCCTGCCTAAATAAATAAATGATCAGTGCCCCCACTGCCTCCTTGCCTCTTAGTGCCCCTCTAAGTAATCCTACTACAGGGGATGGTACCGCCTACTTTGGGAACCACTGTCTAAATCAGGGGTCCCCAATATATTTGAGCCTGTGGACACATTTGAAATTCTGACATGGCACGGCTGCCACAAAACGACTGCTGCAGGAGGTGCCACGAAATGATTGCCACAGCTTAACTTCAGAAACACAGTGCAGATCTTTGTGCTGTGATGGCAGCTGCTGTCAAAGCAGGACAGTCCCCACCCCCAATACTTCTCCATTAAATTAAAGCGCTCTAAACAATTCTTCATGTCCACTTTTTTTGTTTTGCTTTTCCTTTATTTACAAATAGCTGAGGAGTATACCTTAACAAGGAGCTGCGGTGGCTCAAGTGGTTAAGACGCTGAACTGCAGGCTGTGGAAGGTCAGTAGTTCAGCGGTTCAGGACCCCGGTGCCGCAAGACAGGGTGAGCTCCTGTCTCCAGTTCCAGCTCCTGCCAACCTAGCAGTTCGAAAGCAAGAAATTGCAAGTAGATAAATAGGGACCACTTTGGTGGGAAGGTAACAGCGTTCCGTGCGCCTTGGTGTTTAGTCATGCCGGCCACATGACCACGGAAACGTCTTCGGACAGCACTGGCTCTTCGGCTTTGAAACGGAGATGAGCACCGCAACCCTAGAGTCGGATTCGACTGGCTTTCGAGCAAGGGAACCTTTACCTTTACCTTTATACCTTAACAATAACTATGGACAAAGACAGAAGAAAGTATCTCATTTATTACTGTCAAGATCTGTGCAGGACTGGGAGCAAGGCCTAGGAGAGACCTGCATGGCAGTGGAAAGGAAACATAGCCTACAATCCCCATAATGCTTAGCGACAGTTGTAGCCAATCAGTGTTCAGCGATTGTGTCAGGTGATTGTTACATATTTTGTGGGCTGTGGAAAAACGGTGTCCTTTCCTCTCACAGAGCTAAACTGAAGGGGACTGTGTTCTTTTGCTCTTCTGCAGTCTTGTCTCACAGAGGGGACTGCTCTGGTCTGAGGAGAAAGATCCCGGCAGGAGGCCTGGTATAAGAGGCCTGTGGGCCTTGAAGTAGTAACCAGTTAAGTGAACTAGGTAGTCGCTTCATTTATTTTGCCTTTAAACATTGTTATATATTTTAAAGCACCTTGTCTTATTTTCCTTGCCCCAGCACTGTGCTAATAAGCCATTTTGTTTAATTGTTCTCTGCCTGGTCATCACGCCTATGTTCTCGGCTTAAAAAGGGGCAATTTTGGATGGGCTTGGGAGGGTACTCTGGGCCTTCTCAAGGGACCCGAAGTCGAGTGGTGGCAGCTGGAGGTGGCGACCCCCTGGGGGTCATGACAATTACATACACCGCAGCATCCTTATTACTTGAGTATAATCAGCATTATAAACTCAAAGTATTTTCTTCTAACACTTGTATCATATGAACATTCTTACCTTTTTATCTTCCTTGGTCTTTCTGACACTGTGTTGAGAGTCAAATGTGTTTGGTGTACGAAAACCCTTCTTAGACCATTCATTCCTTTGAGACATTAGATGAGGCTGACCAAAGGTGCCATTAACTCTGTATCTGTCAGCAGGATAGGAATCTTCATCATTGGAGGGGGAAGAGTACCACAGTTAATGCTTGACCAGCCATCTGTAGAATCCGTGTATGACTCTTGGTCACTTATGCATGCATGTTGCCAATCTTTTAACACATGAACCGGCAGCCATCTCTGATTGGAAGTGCCCACAGAATTTTTCTTGCATGATGGAACTGAAATTTGGGAAGAGACTACAGGAACTTCAATACGTGCTGAAGGACCTAGAAACTTATTTTGATTTTGAGATTTATCATTCTGCAATATGACCTCTAAAGAGGAGTTTTCTTCTTGTTCGTGACCAAAAGTACTCCAGTGGGAAATAGCTTGACTTCTACCTACTACATTATCCCGCATACTACTAGGAGCATGTTTAGCTGAGTTGCCTCCTAGGTCAACTACCAAAACTCTATTCCCTTTCTCTTCTTGGTTAAAATTCCCAATGCCACTATCACTATTACTGCTCATGCTGTTGTTCTGATGAACATCATCTCCTTCAAGGAAGGCCCTTGCCCGCACTCCCTCAATCAATTCTCCCATATCTCTGTACAAAACAGAGACAAACTGAAGAACTGGCAGAGATGAAACTGGAAATTCTAGACAGCCATTCGTATCTGGATCTGCTGTACATTCCAAACCAAAACGATGTGCAATGCCTTGGTGAATTTTATGGTGAAATAGTTCTGGATCCACCATAAATACGTGACATGATGTCCTCAAAACCGCTTCATCCTCCTGAGCCAAACTTGTATCATCAATGGTCTGCATTGTAACTAGCCCAAAAAATCTTCTGTCATCAGGGCATATGGCACTAAATGCTAGCTTCTCTGCAGGATACTCTGCAATCACCCTGGATTTATCACTGCAGAGTTGAATACAGTCATGCATAATCTTCATCATTACCAATGAATGGATTTTTTGTTCTGCCCGAAGACGTCTCATGCACCCACGAATAGCCTGCAAACTATCATATTCCAGATTTGAATCTGAAGAGGGAAGTTCAATTGATCCTAGGTAGCCCACAACCATAGCCACATTTAAAATACTTGCATCTAAGCCAAAACATTCCTCGTTTTCCATTCCAACTCTAAATACTGAATCATCATTCATGACTCTGGAGAGCTCCTCATTATACAGCATATTTGGGTTGTTTACATTTTCAGATCTCACTTCTAACCTAACAGCAGCAGATTCATGTGCTGGCATTTGCTTTCTTGATGAGCTCTTCATGTTACCAGAAGGAACATTAGGATTTTCAAAGATCATGTTGAGAATTCCACCAGACTGCATTTCTTCCACAACCTTCTCTGCTCTGTTTATACCCAACACTTTGGAGTCAGGTTTGGGTTTTAGCCACCCTTTCCCATCATAAAACCCAACTTCTTCATCACTTGAACATGAGTCATTGTGGCCAACCCCTTCAGCAATGACCATATGCAAAACCCCAGAGCATTTGCCTATTAGCTTCACCACATCTTCATGGGATGCCTTTTTCACATTGATGTCATTTATTGCAAATATTTTATCTCCAGCTTTAAGTCCCACATAATCAGCAGGGCTTCCTTTCAAAACACAGCTAAGAATACAGGGAGCTTGTCCAGAAAGGGTAAATCCATATCCTGCTCTTCCTCTAGCAACTTCAACAGATCTTGTACTAGAACCATGAATATTCATCCAACGCTTCACTTTTTCCCCTGGTCTGTACATGGTGGTATTCACCAGAACTGGCAATCTCCACAGTCCACTGTTAATTCTTCATGAGATACTGAAGAGGAATTTACATTTCTTCATCCTGTGAAGTCCAAAAAAATACTGTTAAAATTCCTCCTCTGTTCCCAAATACTTTTGAATGTCACATTCAGATATATAGTAATAATGCACAAGTCTGACCTCAGATACCAGACTCCTTTAAATAAAACCAAGGCCCTCCACAAGCATAAACTATTTATTTATAACATGGCACTACATCACAGAGCACCTGTATAAGTACAAAACGATACACACTAACTTCAAGTGTGTGGATCTGAACTGGCCGAGACTGAGAGGGAAAGAGATCTTGAGGTTGTAACGGATAGCTTGATAATGATGTTTATTCTGTGCGGCAGCAGCAAAAAAGTAAATTCCATGCTAAGTATTCTTGGGAAAGGGACTGAAAGTAAAATACCTAGTATTGTAATGTCACTGTACAAATGTCTGAAGCAGCTTCCTCTGAAATGTGTATAGTACTGGTCACTGCACCTCAAAAAGGACAGTGCAGAGCTGAAAAAAGTGAAGACGGCAACCAAGATTATGAAAGGGTTGCAGCACTTTCCTTATGAGGACAATAGTCTGACACTTTTTAGATGTTGTTGTTTTTTAAATCACTAAGGGGGTACATGACAGATCTCTGATCCAGCAGGGCTCTTCTTATATTCTTGAATCAGAGCATAAGGCATGATGGATCAGGCCAAAGGCCTATAGAGTCCAGAATTCTGTTCACATAGTGGCCTCTAGGAAGCATGAGGAAGATGACTGCAACAGCATCCTTCTGCCCAAATATTCTCAGCAAGAAGCCCAAAATACTGCAGCATTCATACTGTTCATCAATTTTGCTCTTCATATGCTTCCATAGACAGTGTGACAGTTCATGAAAAACCAGATTAACAAAAACGATATGCCCATTTGTGAACATAAATACAAAAAATACAACTAAATGTCAAATACAAATGTAAATTAAGCACTTAAACAATTAAAGAATAAAGATCTGTTTACTATTTATATATCTGTGTAAATATTTAAATAATAAGGCCAATGAATACTCTATTATCAAGGAGGGCGGGAAGGGTTGTATCAGTGCTTAGTTCTTGTGGCCCTTTCTTACACACCCAGGGAAATGCTGACCACCACTTTGGGGTCAGGAAGCAATTTTTCTCCAGGCCAGTTTGGCCAGTGATCCTGGAGGGGTTTTTTTGCCATCTTCTGGGCATGGAGCAGGGGCCACTGGGTACATGTGTGGGGGAATATTTGTGAACTTCCTGCACTGTGCAGGGGGTTGACTAGATGACCCCAACTCTAGGATTCTAAGAACCAAGAGAAACTAAAAGTTCTGCAGTGGCTAACCCTCTCCCAGTATCTGAGGCTTTAAACAACAAAATAGTTCAAATGACTGCTTTTTTGACATAAAAATGTACATCCCGAACATCAAATACCAACTCTAAACTGATCTTTACTACACATAATCCTATCTGTAAAGATACTTCAGAACAGTGCAACTTTATTCATCACGATGTTGGATTTCTCCATTTTCCATTTCATTTATTAGCTTCATTGACCCAAGGTCTTAAGCCAAACATGCAAACAACAACTATAAAACGCATTACATAAAATTACAAGAAATTTAGGCAGAACGTCTTTACAATAAAAGCTAATAAACATGCTCTCGATCAGTAATATCAGACCACATTTTATAAACTTCAATGAATTCTATAAAATCCCATGATATTATGGAAATTAGTTTTAAAATTTTAAAATTGTATACAAAAGGTACTTATAACATTTCAAAGCCGCTTTAAAAATAGCACTGTCGAAAGATATTTTGCCACCAAGCGAGTCGTTTCAGGGTCCTCATCAGCTAATAGTATGGTTATCACCCAGGGTTCCATAGGGAGGTGATATCTTTGTAAAATAGGAGTAATCCAGCAGGATCTGGGGTCAATCCATTGGTGGCAAAATAACATAAGATGATCTAAGGTCTCTATTGCACCTGATCCACAATTACACAATCTATTTGAGTACTGTATTTTAGCAAAACGGCCACTTAGCTCTACAGTTGGAAAAACATTCAACCTTGCAAGCGTGAAGACATATCTAGATCTGGGGGATGTAAGGAAGCTCATATATGAGGGAGTTTTCTTAGGTGGAACAATCCCTAAGGCAGAGTTGGAGCATACTCGCCTAGCACGAATTGAAGTGCTGAGTCGGTCAATGTTTGTCACCCTCAATCTCATCAAATTTAGCGCTTCTTGATAATTTAAATTATTAAGCCCCGTAGGGGCGAGACCAATCCACTCCAGCTTGTTATCTATATGTTTTGCCCACGTACATTTATAATTATCCCCTTTTAAAAGATAAAGAAGACCTCCTTGAGCATTAGGTGTCATATAAAGAACTTTCAGTCTCAATTTAAAGGCTGCCTTCCAGGCTCTTGACTCAAAGGAGCATTGTGCGAATTCTTCTCTAAGTGCCGTCCCTGCGACACATTTAGGGACTCCTGCAATTTTACGCAGGAACTGGAGAAGGATCTGATCTGATAATTCCGAAATTTCTTTAATCCAGATCGCAGCCCCATATAAAAATTGTGAAGTAACTTTCGCATTAAAAGCTGCAATGGCCATTGGGACATACTGGCCGCCTCTTGAATAATAGAATTTAAGGAGGGCATTAGAATTTAATTTAGCGATTTCAGTTGCTGCTCTTATATGATGTTTCCAGCGGCAACTGGAGCTGAACACTATCCCCAGATATTTGAAATGAGACACTTGTTCTATCTCCCCACCCTTAACCTTCCATGATCTTTGTTTTAAACAAGGTTTGTTAGAAAAAACCATTATTTTTGATTTCTCATAATTGATCATCAGCCCCTCTTGGATACAGTAATCAGTAAAAGCATTCACTAGCTTACGCAAGCCAACTTCTGATCTGGATAGCAGCACTGCATCATCTGCATAAAGTAGTATAGGAACTTCCTGTCCCGCTAGTATGGGTGCGTGACAGATTGTTTTTTTGATATATGGGACTACATCATTTATATAAAGATTAAAAAGCGTGGGGGCTAATAAGCATCCTTGCTTAACACCTTTAGAGAGATGAATGGTATTTGTAAGTTGCCCATCTACTCCGCAACGAATTTGTGCAGTAGGATTCTCGTACAGTTTGTAAATCAGCCAAAGAAGTCTCTTGTCTAGAGATGTTTTGGACAATTTGGCCCAGAGGCGGCATCTGGGGACTGAATCAAATGCTGCCCTGAGATCCATAAATGCTGCATAAAGGGAACCCTTTGAATAAGAAGAGTATTTATCGGCAAGATGATACAGTACCACGCAATGATCTAAGGCTGAGACTCCATTTCTAAATCCCGCTTGCTCAGGGTAAATTATAGATTCTGTTTTTATCCAGTCCAGCAGTTTATGATTTAAAAAAGCTGCATACACTTTGCCTATTACTGAAAGCAGGCTTATAGGCCTATAGTTAGTAGGAACTGTTTTTGGGCCTTTCTTATGTATTGGAACTATCACTGCATGCTTCCATGATTGAGGAATAATGCCAGATTCATTGATTTGAGTAAAAAGAGGGGCTAGAAATCTACTCCACCAGGTGGGGTTTACTTTTAGGAGATCTGCTGGAATTAAATCTGGGCCTGGAGCTTTGCCTGAACGCATTTGCATGATTAAAAGACTCACAGTCTCAGATGAAACTGGAGGCCAGAAGTTGGTTTGAGGCGGTTCAATCTGATCCCCTTGGGACTCAAAGCCAGGGGTCACAGCAAAAATAGAGGTGAAATATCTTTCCCAAATTCCGGGGGCAATACACGCTGGAATTCTATCTACTCCAGAAAGACCCCTGTTGATCAACTCCCAGAATGTTTGAGATTCATTATTGTTTATGGCTGTAATTAGAACCTTCCACTCTTGGCATGTGGCTGACCATTTTTTATATTTTACTAGGGACTTAAATTCTCTTTTTAATTATATAAGATCCATTAGATGAGCCTGGGAGTTTGTACGTTTAAATACACGGTGTTTAGACCTAATTCTTCTAATATGATCTCTGCACTCTTTATCAAACCAGGTATTTTATTTGGATTTCTCCTTTTGATTCTTCCACATAAATCTATTTATTGACACTTTAAATCCATTGCTTAAATCTTCCAACAGAAAGGAGCCTTGTTCCCTACATCATTCAAAATAGCATCTGTATTTTATACACTTTTGGAATCAAGCAAGTGCATTATGTGAAGTGGTTACACTCCAACCATAACTATGCAAGGTATTCATTTTCTGTCTGTGGGTACTAGGGAGCACCTCATATTAGACGTGCACCATAATGTGGTGTGGGGGTTTGTGTGTCAGTGAAGCTGAGAGCAACACCATAAGGAGTTTAGACTTTGCCAAAGAGGCTAAACTCCTAGCAGAGTCACTCAAAGCAGAATAGCCACAGCTGAGACAACAGACTAAGATGCCTCCATCCCGTTCAGGGATCCACAGCCACGGACAGTTCCAATGGGGATGGGGGTGGAAGAATCCTTGAAGGGTAGCTACTGGGCAGCAGCACTAGTGGAAGGTGACGCTGGTGGAGGATCTTTCCTAGACAACTGCAGTGCCACTTCAGCCAATCTTGGTTAGCCATGAGCAGAAGACGACAATGGAAACCCACTTCTGAACAACTCTTACCTTGAAAACCCTCTGGTGAGACAATCCAAAATGAAAAAAAGATACAGTTCTGGAAGACAGAACCCACATTAGTTAGCACTCAAGCAGCTACCGGGGGAAAGCAGAAGACAACTATGAATTGTGCTATTCTTAATGATGCAACTGGATTAAATCCAAAAGGACGTTCAGTTGTTGATGTGAATGGATGCAAAAGGAAAGCCCAAGGCTGTTTGACACATATAATAGGAACATGGAATGTATGAATCAAGGTAAGTTCAAAAGTGTAAACAAAAAAATTGAATGTTTAAATATTGCA